CGATTGTGGGGCCAGATGAGATGGTGGAGTTGAAAATTTGTCTCCTAACAGGGTGATACAGGGTACACACATGGGGCTGGAGCTCTTTTTTTCATCTTTATTTTTTTATTTTTAGTTGGAGTCTCACTCTGTTGCCCAGGCTGGAGTGCAGTGGCACGCTCACAGCCACTGCAGCCTCTACCTGCTGGACTCAGGTGATCCTTCTGCCTCAGCCTTCTGAGTATCTGGAACTAAAGCCGTGCGCTATATCACGCCTGGCTTAATTTTTATTTGTGGTAGAGATGAGGTCTCACCAAGTTGCCCAGGCTGGTCTCGAACCCCTGAGCTCAGGCAATGCTCTCACCTCAGCCTCACAAAATGCTGGAATTACAGGCTTGAACCACTGAGCCCGGCCCTTCATCTTTATTTTAGATTCAGGGAATACACTGCTGAGCAGTTACAATGGCTTTGGGGCAGGGGCATTTCCTAAGGGCCCATATTTGCTTCGTGGCTCCTTGTCCAGAGACCACAGAAATAGGTCATGCTGCAGTGCTGAGCTGTTGGGTGATGGGGGTACAGGGAAGAGCATTGTTGCTTTGGCCTTCCCTCTTCTGACCTGCCAGAAGGCTTGTAGTGAATGTTCTTTGGTCTAGGAGAGGCTGCCCTGGGAGACCAGCCAGAGGGACAAAGGCTGGGAGCAGGGACACCTTCATGAGCCCTGCCTGGGATTAAATGCATGGACTACACAAGAGCAGCGCATCCCCAGAGGTGGGGAGCCTAGGAGCAGGTCTGGGGGTATGGCAGGGAGAAGCCAGGGGAGTATATTATGCCATTATTCCAAGAACTGAGGAGGAGACTGGGGAGGAGAAGGTTTAATATTCCTGTTATTTAGTTATTTATTTTGAGTTGGAATCTCACTCTGTCACCCAGGCTGGAGTGCAGTGGCCCAATCAAGGCTCACCGCAGTCTTGACCTCCTGGGTTCAAGCAATCCTTCCACCTCAGCCTCCTGAGTAGCTGCAACTATAGGTGAGCGCCGCAGCTTATTTTTTTTATTTTTTGTAGAGATACGTCTCACTATGTTGCCCAGCTGGTCTTGAGAACTCCTAAGCTCAAGCAGTCCTCTAGCCTCAGCCTCCCAAAGTGCTGGGAGTACAGGTGTGAGCTACCGTGTCTGGCATGTTGTTACTTTAAGAGTTGCAAGGGCAGCCGGGCACGGTGGCTCACGCCTATAATCCGAGCGCTTTGGGAGGCTGAGGTGAGAGGATTGCCTGAGCTGCAGGTTCGAGACTAGCATAGGCAACTTGGTGAGACCTTATCTCTACAATAAATCAAAAAATTAGCTGGGCCTGATAGCACATGCCTGTAGTTCCGGCTACTTGGAAGGCTGAGGCGGAAGGATCGCCTGAGCCCAGCAGGCTGAGGCTGCGGTGGCCGGGAGCATATCACTGCCCTCCAGCCTGGGTGACAGTGAGACTCCAACTCAAAAAAACAAGCAAACAAACAAAAAACCAAGAAACAGAGTTGCAAGGGCATTCACATCTGTTACTGCATTTGATTGGGAGGATTTTCTAATGAAAGGGGGTTCTGAGGTTATTTCAATGGTAAAGGGAAAGAGTGTGACTGGGACCAGTCAATTCTGGAGCTTGGGGGACAGCTGGAAGTGCTGGGTAGGGAATTAGTACTCCAGTAGTGTCTGCGGCCTGACCTCTGAGGCTTGCCCTGGCCCCTGAGCTGCCTGTGAATTCCTGCTCTGTTGTGGCTCCCCACACCTACCTTCTTTCTGCCCTAGTTCCCCCCACCCTGCCCCGGTTATGCACACGGTTGCTATGGTTGCCATGGTTATGCACACGGGCGCTGCCCAGCAACCCCTCGAACATTTCACAGTGGCTCTGCCCCAAAGCCATGGTAACTGCTCAGCAGACTCCTGCCCTGGCTTTTCTCCGGGGAACCCTGTGCACAGCCACTAGTTCACACAAGTGCGCAGGACCCCCGAGGAGACGCCTACCCTGTGTGCCTGTCCGGGGGTGTCACCAGCCTGAGGTTTTGTGCTGCTGCCATCCTTCTGTTCCTATTCCTCTGACCTAATTAACACCCAGTTCTGAAGATCCACCCCTCCCTCCACCAGACACACATTCAGACACTGTTCTCTTAAAGGTCAAGGTCTGGGGTGGGCATGGGGAAGTTTCCACAGCAGGCCCAGAATCATTCCCTCTTCATTGTCACTCGCTCTGCAGAGGTGGAATGAGTCAAGTTCAGTGTGTGAGGCTGTGCTGGAGGCCAGGAGTCTAGACAGGAGCAAGGCTTTGCCCCGCCGCGGGAACAGGCGAACCAGCCAGGGGCGTGCAGGCTGACGTGGGCCAGGGTGGGGGAGGACAAAAGGGGCCCGGCCTCCCCTGGAGAGATGAATCAGGGGCCACGCCACAGGAAGGGGTATCTGAGTGGGATTGTGAGGAAGCAGAAGGCATCCAGGTTGACGGGGGGGGGGGGGGGAGAAGACTGCAGCGTGACAAAGATGGCCAGGGTGACAGTAGGGAGTGGCAGGGAGATCTGTGTGGCTGGAGAGAAACCAACCGGGTGGGCGGCCACAGGAAGGAGTTGAGACTATCCTGGTCTGCACAGGCAGGTGGGTCCCTAGACCCTGGATGTTCCCAGCTGGTCCCCCCCTCCCATCATGACCTCTCTTCCTGCCATAATTCCAAGTGAGATCCTGTGCAGGTGTGTGTATTCTGTATTGCTGCCTTCTGGTCTCCCCAAGGGCAGGGTCTCTGTGTTCCCCCCCCCATCCTCTCATTCCCTAACCGCTTCCTCCCCATTGCTGCCTTTGTGAACCCCCCAGGTGGCCAGAGCTGGGGAATTGCTGGGGTGAGGGTGGGGAGTAGATTAGCTGGGGCCAGCCAGGGCTGTGTTCCTCCTGCTTGGCTCAGTGAAATTGCCCCTGCCAAGCCTCTCCCTAGAATTTCTTCTCTCTTCCTGTTGGTAGCCGTGTGGGTGGATTTCACTGGAAAGGAGGGGGATTTCTTGGCACTTCCCCGCTCCACCCCTCTCCCTCAGCCCTTTGGAGCTCTTGGTCAGCTCTTGCTTCCCAGACTGACTCAGGTGCTCAACCTTCCCTGGATCTCCAGCACCCTCTCCTGGGCCCCGCCATGTCCCTGAGGCAGTGGGCAGCTCTCACCGATTGTAGCTGGTGGGAGGGGCAACCATAAGGACCCCTGGTCAATGGTCTCTCAGACTGACTGAAGTGTCCCCCAGGGTGAGTCAGTTCCTTGGGTCTTGGAGGCGTTTGGGCTCCCAGAGGCCTCTGGGAGAATGCACGTCAGCCCTGCACGGCAGGACACACCCAGTGCCTGCAGTCCCAGACTGTTGGGCTTCTGCTTCTCCAGCCCCACACGAGAGCAGTCCTGCCCAGAGGGAGGCTGGGAGGCTTCCCCCTCCCCGTGCATGATCAAGAAAGATCATGTGGGTCTGATGAGGGAGACCTGGGTTTTCGGGGCCAGCAGCTCCTTTTCATTTATTCTGTCAGAATGGCTGAGTTCTTGGTGTTGAGGTGTGTGGAGATACAGAGGAGGGTGTGCCCCATTGCAGAAAAGGAGGTGTAGACAGTGGGAGAGCGATTCAGGGAAGAATCCCCTTTGGCAGAGGGGTGTAGGCAGAAGGGAGGGTGCTGGGGGCAGCCAGCTCTGCCCAGCACAGCACAGTCCTTGGAGTTGGTGGGGGGGTCACAGGATGGAGGAGAGACTGTCATTTCCAGCCCAGAGCATCCCCAGCCTGGTCTCTGCCCTGTCATTGCTCAGAGGCCCCCATGACTCCTGCAGCTGGTTGGCTTCTCCCTCGCCACCCTGCCTCTTCTGCCCCCAGGCTGAGCACAATCCCCTGGGTGTGGGGGTGGCAGGGGGTGGGACCACCTGCCACAGACCACAGAACGAGAGGGTCCCATGTCCCCGATAGGGGTTTCAGGCTTGGTGATGAGGAGCTCCCCTCTTGGAATTATACAGAATCGCCTACTCACAAAGCACATTTCCCTCTCCTCCCCCCACCCCCCAGCAGCCATCTGGCAATGCTGCGAGCAACTGAAATCCCCAGTGCCGGACGCCAAGAACACGGTCCTGGAGGGGTAGGGAAGCTTTCCTTGGGGGGGGGGGG